GATGGAGAGAGGCGGGGCTCAGTGGGGGCAGAACAAGGAGCAATGGGCTCAGGTTGCAGTGAGGCAGGTCTAGGTTGGATATTGGGAAAAACGATTTCCCTAGGAGGAGGGTGAAGCGCTGGGCTGGGTTCCCTAGGGGGAGGCTGGAATCTCCATCCCTCGAGGTGTTTAAGTCCCGGCTTGACCAAGCCCTGGCTGGGTTGATTGAGTTGGGTTGCTCCTGCCTTGGGCAGGGGGCTGGACTTGATGACTCCTGAGGTCTCTTCCAGCCCTAGGATTCTAGGACCCACCAGACTTGCCAATCATAATGGTGCCTCCTGGTGCTAAATCGAGACACCTTCTGAAAAAGTCCCTGGGCCGAGGAACACCCCAACCACAAGCCAGTTCAAAGCACTTTGGAGAGCAGGATGAAACCGCGACAAGCCGGAGAATTGGTCTGAAATGAACCAGAGGAAATTCAACAAAAGACAAGTGGCCACGCACGTAGGATGAGGGCCGGGGAGGGGGGGGAATCAAATCCCTTTTAATCAGCTAACCTGCTGGGCGTTCGCTTGATCCGGAGGGGACGGTGACGCACAACGGGCGTATGAGTCAGCCGTGCGCCACAGTCAAAAAGCCCGACATTGTTCCGGGGTGTTACGAGCCAGCGTGTCGGACAGGAGGTGTGATTTACGCGAGGAAGTGAGGTCGGTGTTACCACGGGGTGTGAACATTTCTCTGGCGCCGGCAGCACTAGACTGATGGGAGAACTCGCGGCGGGGGAGCATCTACGTCGACGGGAGAAGCCCTCCCTGCGGCAGCATCTGCGTGGAAAAGCCATAGCAGCATCGCTGCAGCGTTTCCAGTGTGGACAAGCCGGGCGGCGGGTGAAGCGTCCCCTTGTGGAGGCTAGCCTCCTGGCCCCGCCTCCTCGGGCCAACACCCCGCCCCTTCTGGCAGAGGCCCCGCCCCTTGGCCCTGGCTGGACATCCAAGCCTGGAGCCTCTCCCCCAGTGCTGTGTCAGGGGAAGATTTTTCGGGGAGCCCCCAAATGGGCCAGGGCTGTGGGCGCAGTCCCCATGGGCCTATGCAGTAATCTGCCCCAGTCCCCACTCGGGCGGTGTGAAGTTTGGGGGAGGCTAGCCTCCCCAAGCTGCCATGATGTACCACCCATGTGGACGAGCCCAAGGCCTGGGAGGGATGTCTCCTGCCCTGGGGAGGGCCCAGATGGAGAGTGTGTCCGGTTCTGGGCAGAAAGACGCAGAGAAACTGGAAAGAGTCCAGAGAAGAGCAAGGAAAAGGATCAGAGGGTTAGAAAACCGGCTCCCGGGTGCAGCCACAGAGACGTAGCTTAGGTGGTAGGAAAACTTCCTAACTCCCCCGTGAGTTGCACTCCCGGCGTCGGAGGGAGGTTCGTGTTCCAAACACCTCTGCAGATCCGGCCCACGCGAGGCACCGTGCACACACGTTTGGCGCCTTCGTGCAGCCCTGAGCAACGCGAGGCCAGGACGCAGCTGTAAGCAACGAGGAGCGGCTGCCCCAGGGAGCCCAGAGCACTTTCAAACCAGAGAAGCCGTGATAAGACCCATTAATAAAAGTCACGTTCTCAGCCGCACTGCGGTGGACTCGGATACAGGCATCACCCGGGGAAAGTAATCGAGTTACGCGGCTCGATGCGAGAACTCAGCCCCCAGTGTGATGGCTGTGCCTCCGAGCACTCTGCGTGCCCCTCACGCAAACAGCCCCGCACGGTAAAGTACTGCAGGGCAATAGCTTCCTCCCCGCTTGACAGGTGCAAGGAGAGGGGAAGCCCAACACGGAGTCAGCGGCAGAACTGGAAATAGAATCCTGGAACCCGGACAATAGAATCCCGGAATCCAGGACAATAGAATCCCTAAATCCCTGATAATAGACTCCTGGAATCCCGGACAACAGAGTCCCATAATCCAGGACAATAGAATCCCGGAGTCCCAGACGACAGAGTCCCAGAATCCCGGACAATAGAATCCCGGAATCCAGGACAATAGAATCCCTGAATCCCTGATAATAGAATCCCAGAATCCTGGACAACAGAATCCTGGATAATAGAATCCCAGAGTCCCAGACAATACAATTCCAGACAATAGAATCCCAGACAATAGAATCCTGGAATCCAGGACAACAGAATTACGGACAATTAGAATCCTGGAAAACCTGACAATGGAATCCCTGACAACAGAAACCCAAAATCCGAATCCCAGAGACCCTGACAATAGAACCCCAGAGACCCGACACTGGTTCCCTGCAAACAAGCCCACATCCACAGGAGTATTTAGGCCCCTAACTCCCAGAAAGTGAGGGGCCTAAATACCTTGGCAGATCTGGGCCATACTCTCCTCTGAAAGCCAGGAGGCCTAAGTCTCAGTCCCCTGCTCTAGCCACCAGGGAGAGACTCTCTGGCTCCTTATGCAGCCTCCTGCTACCGCAGCCTCCGAGTGCTTCAGTCCTCAATGCGTTTGGCCTACACCAGCGCTAACTCCTCCGCAGAGCCATGCAGAGACTAAGGGTCTTGCCCAAGGTTACACCAGACATCTGTGGCAGAGCGGGGACTCAACCCGAAGCCAGTTCCTTAACCCCCCGACTAGCCTTCCTCTTCCTACCTGCCGGCCGCCCACCGAAGGGCTAATCACTTCCTCGGGTACATTTCTGAGTGGCGGGCGGTAATCGGAGGCCGGCAGCAGGCACATGGCCCCGCACTGCGCTGCGACCTACCATCTCCCCCAGCTCCGACTCCAGGTCGGCCTTCTCCACGCACAGCTTCTCGTACGCCCGGATCATCTCGTCCAGCTGCTCTTCCCGCTCTTTGCTCTTCTGCAGCTGGAAAGCGGGAAAGGGAGGCTGTTTGCAGGGAGATCGGGCCTCTCCCCGCCCATCAGGGGAGGAGGGGGCCTTGGAGCAACAATCACATGCTAATGGTACTAGAGGCAGAGAGCTGAGTGGGGGGTGGGGATGCTGATCCTGCCCCAGCCAGAGGGAAGTGGCCACACAAACACCTTAAAACAGGCAGAGACCGACTTGGAAATGCAGCCACCTCTGGGGGGCAACGCAGCCGCCGATTCACAGCGCCCACGAACGTTTTAGACAGGGAAGAGACGAAAGCCACCCTGCCTGGCTTGGGAGGAGCGGGGGCAGCTACCGGAGCTGGAATCTGGCCAGGACGTCCAACGGGTGAGGGAGGACCCAGAAGGGCCGCTGGCCACATGGGACCCACCCCATGCACCCCAGTGGCCCCAGATCCCAGACTTAACACCCCTGCCTCACAGCACCACCCTCCAGGGGCCTGCAAACCCCTCTCCCAAAGGTTGAGAAATCGTCTATCAGGTTCTGCAAACGGTCCCCC